GAAGGAACTTGGATTAAGTGACCCAGGAAGTCTTTCTGTGATTTAATTGTTTTTATTGGCCTAATTAATTTAAAAAGCTTAATTATGAAACCACATGAGTGCTGTGCAAAGTCTGCAAAGTACCATTCAATGACGTCCAGATGCAAAATGCATCAGTAGCTTTTTTACCTAATTAACAAAATAAACCAGAGAGATTTATAGTACAGAGTATATACCCAAAGTAAAACAATTTCATTCCTCCTAAGTTTCCTTTGAAATAAATCGCAATAGGAAATTAATTTTATAAAGAATACTTCTGCATGACCATTGGAAAGTTACCATCTGTTCCAGTTAACTATTTATTCATTTTTAAAAAATCTCAAAACCTAATGATTCAAAATAGCATCAATTTCTTTCTTTCTTTCTTTCTTTCTTTCTCTCTTCCTTTCTCTCTCTCTCTCTCTCTCTCTCTTCTTTCCCTTCCTTCCTTCCTTCCTTCCTTCCTTCCTTCCTTCCTTCCTTCCTTCCTTCCTTCCTTCCTTCCTTCCTTCCTTCCATCCACTGGGGATTTAACCCAGGGGCACTTTACCACTGACCTATATCTCCAGCTGTTTTTATTTTTATTTTAAAACAAGAGTCTTGCTACTGCATAAGGGACTGTAAGTTGCTGAGGCTGGACTCAGACTTGGGATCCTCCTGTCTTAGCCTCTTAAACTGCTGGGATTATAGACATGTGCCACTGTGCCTGGGGAAACATCAGCCATTTTATTATTTTTCGTGATTTTTGAATTATGGGTCCAATTGGGCAGTTTTCATTTGCGCAGTAGAGGGGTTGGGTCATCTGTATACTCTCACTCAGGTGTCTGGCATCTGAATGGAAACTCTTTAACAGCTGGTTAAATTTGAACAACCTGGTACCCTTTTTACTTTGTCTTCCCAGGACAGTAGCTTCAGGGCATCTGGACTGACATACTGTGGTTTAAATATTCAAAAGCTCATATCCCAGTAGAGAGTCTGGTAGAAGCTACACCAACTCTCATTACCAATCCTTGGGTGTCACAAATAACTTCAGTTACATTTTGTCAATTGGAAGTATCACTAAAACCCAACCAGATTCATTTAGAGGGAAATAAAATCTCCTTTTTTGTGTATCAGTGAGACCCTGAATGTGCATATGAACTGGAAGAAATAATACATGACATGGCCATTTTTAATAAATGCAATCTATATTTCAACCTCATGGCAGAAACTTCATACTGTACATATCTCAGGCAAGTATACACAAGACAGGACAGAGGCAAGAATCTACCAAAGTGTGACTTGACACATTTAAGTAAATCAAAAACATGTGAGGGATATCCAGGACAGGGTTCCTAATTTCTGCAAGTAGATATAGGAAAGTATATTTTGGAAAGGATGATAATCTGTGAGGTCAGTCATGTTCAGGAAGGAGATTGATTAGGCGGACGAAAAGAAGGAGAAAGGGAAATTAAGAAAGATGGAGATTAGAAGACAAAAGGAAAGGAAAATAAATCTATGTATATATATTTTTAAAGAAGCAGTAGATTATGTAGCCTACCTTCAAGTCATGAGTAAAATATCTTACTGATTAAAAACAAAACTTATTTTACAGATGCATGTATGGATCTGGGCTCTGTCATTTTCTGTCTGAAAGAGGATGCGGTAATTACTTTAGGTATTTCTCCAGGCTTGTAAATTGTAATTAATATCATACTTAAGTTGTATGGTCATTATGGAGATCAAAGAAGACAATGCGTAGAAAATGCCTGTTCCCAAGTACAAGGGCTCAAATAATTCTCACTACTCCCTCAAGAGGTACTGGCATTAAAAATCCATCTTAAAAGACAGTGAGTTTGAAAAGAAATCACAAAAGAAGTCTATTGATCCTGCCTTATCAATGCTGGTTAAATCTGTAAAAAACAAAACAGAACAGTTTCAAGCAAGAAAAACACAAAAAGTCAAATGATGATCTTGTTTCTTTTTGGATGGAGAATGTATACAGAAACAGAATGAATACTGAGAAACTGCCTTTCAAGAATATGAAAACTTTTTCTGACTATACTAAAATTTTTCTCTGTACATAATTATTGTACCTAATTGTGGATGGCAGATTTGTACCAGTATTCCCACAGATTAATCTTAATGAAATTACCTAAATTATAGGATTTATAACAATTTTATATTTTATGAAGTTCAGTTCCTATTAATAGGAAGTTACTCTAAGTTAGTTAGCTTCTTTTTAAAAGACTTTACAATTCTGTGTAAAAACAAAGTGGTATCTACTCTTAAGTCCATGTCAAAGATTAGTGACAATTTGAAAATAAGGATATATAATAATACATTTATTTCTGTGGAAGCAGGAGGCAAATTTAGATAGCTATTAAAATTATTTTTTTTCTAGCTATAAAGGATGGAAGCCAAGAGCTTTGTTGTTTGTCATGCTTAGTAGTTTATTTATGGAATTAATTTATAAATAAAAGCTCAAAATATTTTTAAAAAATCCACCTTATCTTCATAGACACCACATGCTAACTTTATGTGTCAAATTGTATATTCCTTGGATTTATTTCTCAGTTATTCAGTGTATTTTCTTAATGTGTCTATCTATACACCATTGTCAAACATACTAAAGTACTATATCCATTAAAGAAGAAATTTATACTTGTTATTACAAAACCTTTCCATTGTATTTTCAAAATAATTTCATTCACCCTTAGATTATCAAATTCCTAAAAGTTGACTATCAGATTCTATTAATGAATAAGTAATTAAAGTAAAATGAATTTTAAGTGTTTTGTTTTCTGGCAGTTTGTGATTATAACAAGAAACAAGATACCTTGAAACAATTCTTCTGTGGCCAAAGAAAGGCAATATGACAGAATCTCAACTTCACAAGCTTAGAGGCAAAGAATATGCATAAAATCGACAGTGTTTGTAACGGTCAGTTTCAAGATTATCAAAATGAAAAAGAAATGTTCCTATCACCATAGGATTTTAATTGTTTTTTTTTTTTTTTTGCGGGGAAGTATGGGGATTGAACCCAGGAATACCTTACCACACAGCTACATCCTCAGTCCTTCTTATTTTTTACCTTGAGACAAAGTCTTGCTAAGATGTTGAAACTGTCTTCAAACTTTATATCTTCCTGTCTCAGCCTCTCAAGTCGTTTGGATTACAGGTATGTACTACAATACTGGGCCACCATAAGATTTTTATGAATCAAATTCAATGTTTAAAAATTTCCAATATGGAGCAATCGCTACATAGCCAGATAGATAAACAGACAGGTATGAACACCTTCAATGATAAGTAAGGATTAGTATCAGCATTGTTTCTACTAATTTCCCTGTCAGTTCCTGAAATTAGCTGACTTGGCTTTTTCTTTCTAAATGAAATCTATCAGCGCTTAACTTCTAAGAAACAAAACTCCAGTGTACTTAAACTGTATCATACTATTTAAACTGTATCAATATCTCTATGGGTGTCTATAAGATCCTCGTGGGATATAATGACTGAATCGACAGCAATGATAGCAGCATATGATGAGGAAGTGGGGTTATATTATAGAGAATTTTCCTCTATTCAATTAATCATTATAACATCTCTGTATGTGAATTGTTATAATCCTCATTTGATGAATGAGAAGAATAAATTTCAGAGAGGGAATACTGTGTGTCGTGTGTGTGTGTGTGTGTGTGTGTGTGTGTGTGCGTGTGCATGCTCAACACATACACACACACGATACACACACATAGAGTACACTCCCTTTGTGTGGTGCAGGGGTTGACTTTTTTTTTAAGCCTTTCACATTTTAAACCCAACTTCCATCCTCTCAATATCACTGCCCCCTTTCGGGAAATGGCATTAACATGAGCATAATTTAAAATGGAAAACATCTATTATATATTTTTGTCCTTATATTTCTCCAATTTTTATCTTTGAAAGAAGATTCTTTTTCATACCATATTAATATATTGTATTAATATTAATTAGTAAACATGGCAGATTATAAAAATATAATACTCAGTGCAGAATTACCTGTGTGACACATTCTGATAAATGTAATTATTTCTAGACTTGCATTGCCCAAAATGGTAGCCACTGGCCACATGTAGATAATGAACATTTCAAATGTGACTACTCTGAATGTAAAATATACTCCAGATTTCAAAGACATGGCATCATATAAAGCATATTAAGCATATCAATATTTTCATATTTAGTACATGCTGCAGCAATATTAAATTAGATATCTTATGGAACTTAATTTTGCCTCTTTTTGCTTTTTTTAATACAATAATTAGGGATTTTGACTTTCATGTATGGATCTCATTGCATTCCTATCAGACAGCTCTGAACTAGAAGCATGCAAAAGGCTGGATTTATTTCTCATATTTCAGACCAGAAAACTGAGGCATAGATGCATTAAATAATATGTCCATTCTCATTTATAGCTGGAGGAATATGGCTTACTATTGAATCAATCTGTATAGCAGGAAGTAACTTTAAATGGAAACAAGTCCAATTCCTACATTTTACTACTGGAAGAAATTTTGACTGGAGAGTTTACAAAATCATATTATAGGTAGAGCAAAACTTGCAATTTTTATCCAAATGCTACTGTTTCCATTTTATGATTCTACCATGAGATGTCAGTGTCCCTTCAACTGTCCTCTTTAATTCCAAAAATATAAAGCACATTTGAGACACTATGGCAAATTATAAAGTTGGCTTTGCTAATCTTTACAATGTAGAACTATATCTTAGTTCCTGAACTTGGTGCCAATCCATTAATAACACTGGGTTGAAGATTAGACACTTCAGCAACTCTACTTCCAAATATTATGATTCTTTATTTCAAGCCATATTTGCAAAAGCTCTCTGAAACCTAAAGAACACACCAACAAAACACTAAAAAAGAACGTTTTGACTCTATGCTACAAAACTGAAATTTCCTAAGGGCAACACATTTGGCATATTGAAAAATAAAACACACAGACCACAGTTGGAGATTTTATTTTCCTTCCTAACTTTTAGGATTGTACAGAAATTATTCTTTCCAACGAAGTGAACTGAAACCTTTGTTTTCCTTTAGAATTATTGGGCAGAGATTCACTGTCTACACCATTAAATACTGCTGAATATGACCTCAACACAAGAAAAATATGAAAATGAATGCTTCATCACTTTGGAAAACCTAGTACTCTTGGGATATGGAAGAACCAACATGTAGGAATTCACATTTGGTGCCTGGATGGGGCTTCAAGTCCCTCTCATCTTTGTTGGGTAAGCTTCTTATGTGTTTCTGTCACTCGGTTTCTTCTTTAGAAATGGCAGGATTGAAGGCATCTCCTTCCTAGGTGTATTACAAGAATAAAAAGAGACAATATGTCAATTTAATGGCATCTACCTGACTTAACACTGATAGTGAAAGCTGTTCACTGAATCTGAATGTATTTTCATGTATACAAATAAACTGCCTGTACTTGGGCCCACCATAAAAATGTGTCATTCATTTAAAGAGAATGAGAATAACAGCTTTCTCACCACAAGGTTATTGTGGAGATTAAGTAATTTAACATATGCAATATAAATAAAATAATATTAACAAAAGTGTATACATTAATTAAAATCCATGTGGAAAATGACACAGTTTCCAGATAGGAATGCAATCCTATGAGCCTGGTTCATGCCTCTAATCCCAACTATTCAGGAGGCTGAGGAAGAAGGATGGCAAGTTAGAGGCCACCCTCAGCAGTTTAACAAGGGCACAGAGGTTAGTGGCAAAGCATCCCTGGGATCAATTTTTAGAAACAAAACAAAACAAAAGAAAGAAATTCAATTCATCCCATAAGAATTTTTATATGTGTTTCACAGAAACTGGGAAAGTTCATACTTTAATTATGTATGTGTGTGTGTGTGTGTGTGTGTGTATGTGTGTGTGTGTGTGTGTGTGTGTGTGTGTGTGTGTGTGTTACTAGGGATTAAATCTGGGGGTTCTTTACCACTGAGCCACATCTCCAGCCCCTATTATTTTTATTTTGAGATAAGGTTTTGCTGAGTTGCTGAGGGTCTTGCTAAATTAATGAGGCTGGACTTGCCCTTAACATCCTCCTGCTTCAGTCTACCAAGTTGCTGGGATTACTGGCATGCACCTGGCTTCATTATCTTCATTTTCATTAGGGTAAGAAGTCCAAATTTAAAGCAAATTATTCTCAAATTTAAGAAGAAAACTATTTTGACTTCTAACAGAGCAAGAAGTAGAGTTAAGGGTGTCTTAAATTTAGTTTTGCGAGTGATTTACAATGTGCTGCTGGAACCCATTGATTTCTTCCCCTAATTTACCAGTTGGACTTTCTTGTTACACTATTTCAGGCTTCTGTGGTTCTTTATATTCTTAATATTTCTACAGGTAAACTATTTTCTGTTCCTTATTCTCATTAAAAAAAATGTCATCACTGTTCAATTCTCATTTTAAAAGGACATTACTGACTTCACTATGATAAGCCTTCTCAAACCCATTTTTAAAACTCAGAAAAGGACCAATTCATTATCTAATGGCATTTCTTGAAACTGGAGTTGTTAATAATCTATCATTAACTGAAGCAATATCAATTTAGAAGACATATTATTTATGTCAAACTAATCTATCTGAAGAAGGTGACACCAATGTTAACAATTTGATCAAAATAATACAAAAATGGTTTTTAACTGAACATGTGTGAAATGAGGAAGAAGTCACTTTGGCTTAATATGTAAATGGCATATATCTATTAATACTGAAACTTCCCAAGATGAAATCTTAGCTTAGCTTTGGGTAGAGGAAAATTCTAGGTATTTTTTAATAAAATTGGATTGCAAATAACTTGATTATAAATAAATTAGGAGAAGTAATGAAATTGCCCTAAGTGTTTTAAGTAATTAAGCCTCTGGGTCATGTATTTTCATTTGATTAAAACTAAATAATTGTTCAGCCACTGAAGTGGCATATATTTCTAGCTTTCTGTCTCCACAATATACCTTATTTTCTACAGAAAATTGACTTTTCTACTGACTAAAACCTATACAGAAAATAAATTAATCCAGAGCTCCCTATTATACTAGAATTTACTGATATATTAAAGCAACACTAAGACACTATGACAAATACTAGCAGAATGATACCTTAATAGACTTAATTGGACAATGGAAAAAATAGATCTTGGTCTGAATAAATAGTAGAAAGTAGTTTCCAGAAGCTATAGAGATACTGCTGGTACCCTTGGTCCCTGTAAGTGAGAACACAATGGCTCCCAATCTCAAAATCCATATTGCATGCCTCTTGTCTTCCAGCTGCCATTCTTCATATGAAGAATATATTAAAAAAAAGAAATACTTTTTATGCTTTTATACAGCTTATGGCCTATATTTAGAAAGACACTAAACAATTAAGTTTAGAATTATGATATCTTATCAGTCATAGGGTATACCCTGGATAGTATGAGAAGCGCATATCCAGTCAGGGTGGCCAAGCAAGATGCATTGTAGATGTTTGATATTTAAGATTTAACAACTGTATTGGCTTAGCCTGGTGAAGGGAAGAGATTATGGGGTTTGATTTTGTTGTGTGTTAAGTGTAGCTTAGAAGAATAGTCTGTGTGAAGATCTCAAGAATGGAAAAAGCATGCTGTAATAGGTGAAAGGCAACTAGGAAAAAAGAAGAAAAATGAACAGGTGATTTGGAAGGCAAGTCAATGGTAGCCATGTAGGCCAAGGGCTTGCTGGTTATGTTAAGGGTTCTTACCTTTTCTTAGAGGCAAGGGAAAAACCCAGTTATGACATGATAATGTTCATGTCACATAACATGATAAAGTGTTTGATAATTTTGGTATCAAATGTCAAAAGTACAAGCATTATAATTTACCATATTATGATAATTATTCTTTTTATGTAATTAATTCAATATTCAACCCTAAGCCATGTTAACTGTGTAATGTGATTTTAATGTATTTATCATTTCCAATGTGCTATTTACTTTAATTTTGTGTCTTTTTAATCTTTTTTCTTTATTCATCAGAAAAAATAAAAGAAAAGGGAAGAAAAGAAGGGATAAAAAAATTAAAAGTAAACATAATATTACCACAAAATTAAAGTAAATAAATATTACCACATTGGAAATAATAAATACATTAAAATCATCAGAAAAGACCGCTAACATGGCTTAGGGTTGAATATTGAATTAATTCCATAAAAAGAATGCTTGTCATAAATATCATAAAATTATAATAATAAACATAAAATTATAATAAAGACTTAATTATAATAAGACTTAAGAAATTAATGTTTAGGATCCAACAAAAAAATAGTAGGTATACCTAGTTACCAAACAGGTGACACTTAAAGTATTCATATGTAATAGAAAAAAATCTTTAAAATTTGGAAAGTAAAAATCTTTAAGTAAATGGAGCACTTCCAGACTTTAGTAAAATTGATACAGATCTATTTGCACAGGTAAATAATCTGGTTCAAGCATTAAAATCTAAAGATAATTTTTTTTAAAAAAAAATTAAGAGAGGTAGGCTAGAAAAACAAGTCCTTACTGTAGGAAAGTAATTGGGTCACTGACACCTGCACAGCCACTCCTGAGCCAGGTAAAAATAAAGCAGTAAGTTCAGAGTGCTGAGGGAAAGAAAATATAGTTGAGAATATTATGCCAGTCAGGTTTTGTTTGTTTTTTTAATATTACATTTTAAAATGAGACATTTTAAAAAGAAGTCAAGTAGCAAAGTATGTATGCTAATAAAACCATTCATCAACCAAACCCAATAAGGGAATATGAAATAAGGAGGCAGAGGTCAAAGACATTAGTCCCGTTTGCAATTTTCAAGTGAGGAAGGTGAGAGGTTATTCTTCACATGTAAGGACATTATCCATGTATTCCTTAGCACGTAGTAAATAAAAGAATTTAACAACTGTAAGTCCCTCTTTTAAATACTATCTAACAATAAAATGCAGATATAATCAGTGGATTACAACTATGGATATTGAACTTCATAATAGAGGAGTTTGGTAAAAGGTCTGGGAATAACTGCATATAAATGAATGTAGAAAGAACTGAATATCTGTGGAAAGCATGACTACAGATTAGAATATAAAATGATACAAAAACAAAACATACTGATGCACAGTTAGTAAACCACTAGATGTGAAAGAAAAAGAAGAAGACCATAACAATGTTAAGTTTTCAATTTAAAAGGTATTAAGTAACAATATAGTTATATATGAAGTTGAACAAGGAAAACTAAAACCATAATGATTCAAAACATTTCAATAGTTACATACTGGCTTTGTGATTTTATAGGAATATTTTAGTTGTTTATGTCTAATAGATATAAATATTTGTACGCATATTACATGTGGACATACACACATATACATGCCCACATAAAATTCAGAAATTTCTTTTTACTCTTACTTCCATTTGTTCTAATTACTTTTTGCAATTTAAGCAAAGGGAAATTGAAAACCCTTTCTGAAAATACATATGAAACTATTCTTACATGATGGTGCGAATTTACCTGTGCAAATGCCATTCAAGTCCCTATTATTCAGACAGTTTCTCTTTCTGCTCCTTATTTCTGTATATTCATAGAAAAACATCTAAACAAATATTAACATGATATTAAAAATGGTTTTTGTTTTTCTTCCAAGTGGTGGGAATGTTGGTGATTTTTTGGTCTGGTTGTAACTGTATGTCTTTATGGAATTATTTTAATATGCACTTATTAAGCACTCTTTACATTCTTTCAAATAGAAGCTGTTATTTAATTAAAATCTCTCATTTGCTTTTAATCCACTGTTTAAATTGTTATTTAATTAAAATGTTATTAATCCAAAGAAAACCATTTTCTTTTTAAAATAAAATCAGTATATTTCTAAAATCAAAACACAGTGGCACATGATACAGAATATATTATATGACATAGGATGTAGAATATATTCTGATCTATATATTAGGAAAACAGAAGCAACTATTAGGGTTCTGAATCAGATTTGGGAATTTTGCAAATCGACATCCCACCCCATCCTTCCCTCCCTGCAATCCCTGGCTTCCACATTACCCTTAGCTCTAGCTATTTCTGGTGATGTCATCAGACTGGCTCCAACCTTGGGGACAAGGCATGGTTTCACAGTAATCTCAAGGAAGGGCATCATTTGCCTACAACCATCCCACTAAATTCTCCAATTTCTTCTTGTACTTCTATCATTGTTTTCCTCCATTAGTTTTCAATTTGTGTATTCTGATATTTTTAAATGGGGATAAAGATTATAGAGAATATACTATCTTTACAAAGATAGTAGTAAGAGCATTTTCATTAACATGTTTATATTTGAATTATACCAATGCCTATCAATGCCTCTTTAAACTATTTTGGTTTTTATCATCTAATAATCTGAAAGTTCATTAGTATATACCTATAATTTATAAATTGTATTACTTTTTCCTTCTCTGTATTGAATATGTATTCCTGGGTAATCCTCCTTTTTTTTTTTTTAAATTCTGCTGATGGTCCATTAGTATTTAGTCTCCAATGTTTCAAAAGAGACATATGAGCCAGGCACACCTGAAATCCCAGTGGCTAGGGAGGCTGAGGCAGGAGGATGGCAAGTTCAAATCCAGCATCAGCAACTTAGTGAGACCCTAAGCAACTCAGTGAGACCCTGCCTCTAAATAAAATATTAAAAAGGGCTTGGATGTGGCTCAGTGGTAAAAGCACCCCTGGCTTAAAAAAATAATAATAATTAAATAATTTAATTAATAAATTTAAAATAAATAGACAAATGATTCTAGTTGATTCAGTCTTCACATCCTAGACAACTCTTGAGGTAACAGTGATAAAACTAGGGTGTGGATCATGTGACATGGTTAAGATTTCTTCAACTTGCCTTGATCAAGATCACACTCCTTCTCGAGAAGACTCACTACATTTCAGCCATGACAAAACTTCTATATTCTGTTGCTGTTGGTCACAAAAAGTTTCTGGCTGGGTATGGTGAAGCACCCTCTTAACTACTCAGGAAGTTAGAGTCAAGAGGATTACAAGTTTGAGGCCAGCTTAGTCAACTTAGCCAGATCTTGTCTGAAAGTTTAAAAGCATAAATAAAACAGCCTAGGGGTATAACTCAGTGATAAAGAACCCCTTGGTTCATCCCCAGTTCCAGAAAATAATAATACTAATAATCCTAATAAAACTAGAGCAGTACAAGTGATTCTGCAATGGCACAATATGGTCACAGTGAATACTTTTCTGTTGGTCAGCAATTATAATTATTTTTGTCAAGGACTATAGGTCTTTACAGTTTTCTTCATAGATAGCTTTTTCCCCAAGATAGACTTCTAATTGGAGAGTGTTTGATGTCATTTTCTCTGACAAGAGCCACTAATGTAGAAATTCAATATGGCTGATTTAAAGCAAAGGCAAATGTGAATATAAAAGCAAGATAAACAGCTGGCTGAGTGAAGATTTTTTTTCTTCTTCTTCTTTTTAATCCCTTCATTTTTCTTTATAAAATGAGACTCTTGGCCAGAATTCACACTCAGATGTAGTGCTGCCCAGGGCTGCACTGAAGATGATTCTGCTTCAGGCAATATTCTTGTTTCTTCCTTGCTTGCCGTCTTTGCCTTACAACAATCTCACAGCTCCTATCTTTCATCTGTTCCTTCAAACTGAAAGTCTAAAATGATTTCCCAATGATTGCATCTGACTCTTTTAAACAGACTTCAATCTGTTTGCTCTGTCTCTTCCTCCTCCAGGGTACCTGAGGTAGCTCACTGAAGCATGATAAAGGTCTTTAGGATTACACCTTTGGTGATGATCATTCTATCCACAACCAACCAGGTCAGCCCTTGTAATCAAGATTCTAAGAAATGTTGTGGAATTGACCCAGCTGCAAAAGATCAAAATGATTGCCAAAATAAAAAAAAAAAAGGAATCCAGGAATGTTTGGGAAAGAAAGGTGAAATGAAAGAGAAAGTGAAGGACAGGGAGGTCTTTTGTCAACATTTACAACATTCAGTAGGTTTTCAGAGCTAATCTGTCTTGAGTCGTTCGTTTTATTATTAATATTCATGATACTAAGAGAAACATACATACCTTGTGAAGTTAGTAATTTAGTTACATTTCAGATGCTGAAACTGAGTTTCAAAATCAGATTTACGAATCAGATTTTCTGACTCCTGATTATGAAACTTGTTTCCATTATACAAGGCAGGTGTCTTCTAGCTTTCACTTTCACATGATCTAGAAATAAAAATATGTATTTGTACTAGGGATTGAGTCCAGGGGCCTTGTACCATTGAGCTACATGCCCAAACCTTTTTAATTTTTTTTATTTTGAGACAGGGTCTTACTAAGTTCCTTAGGACCTTGCTAAATTGCTGTGGCTGGCCTTGAATTTGTAATCTTCCTGCTTCAGCCTCTGGAGTTTCTGGGATTACAGGCATGTGGGTTACTGCACCCCATTTAGCAATTAAAATATTTTAAATACAAAGTGACAACTTGCACTCCTATTCACCTTGGCAACTCTGGTTATGATATTGGCCCCTGGAACACTAGTTGCATGAGATACTGACTTGTAGAATCTGTGAAGAGGGAAGGGCAGAGTCAACCAAATTCCTCACTTCTATGTCTTACAACCAGGTCACAGGTGAAATGCTATTTCAGTGAGCAAAAAGCATGGAAGCATCAAAAACAGATCTGTCTCATGTCAGTTTCTGCCATGTAATGAAATTGTTATGGTCCCAGCATGAAGAATTATGGTTAGAAAGTAGAAATGAGAAACCCTTCCTATATTGAGAGAGAGAGAGAGAAATCTTTTTCTGCCCGGTTTTAGCAATGTATTCTCCACCAGCATTTAAAATCGACTGTGGTTACTATGGTCAGCTCTTACCTCCAATTTGAAATGGGTTAATTTTTAGAAAAAAATGCATCATCCTTCACTACATTCTTGTTATTCTCATTCTTCACAATTCCATAAGCATTTCCATGCATTCCTCTTGTTTTTTTTTTTTTTTCATTTTACTACTTCCACATTACATTTATATTCCTTATGGGTTTTGCAGGAACATTTATTTTATAGAAAACTAAAATTAACTAAAAATGTGAAACTTTCACATTTTATTGGTGAAATTTGGGGCATGGTGGGGGAAGTCCTTTGTGGTATAGTTGTACATGCAATTGTAGACACCCCAGTGAAAATCTGTGTTTAAATGCCAGAGGTGCCTAGCACTTCCATTTACCCCTGATCCCTAGAGCTGGAAGGCTTACTTTCTCAAATGGGCTGCTGATACATTGTTGAGTTTAATACAGTGGTATTAAATTCCAAGGAAATTCCAAGAACTAGAATAAAAAGTAATTGTCCATGTAATTTATGTCTATAAAATGAGAGTGAAAAAATGGGTACAGAATTACTGTTTTTAGAATATGACTCCTACATGTTTTTAAGCATTCTTGGAGACAGCAATTTTCATTTTGGAATGAAAAGTGGGATTTGCATATTTCTTGTTACATCATATTTTCATGTTGGTACATTTTCTCCCTTTTATCTGATTTCAGTTGAAGTACTGTCTCACCTCAAAGCCCTTTCTCAACTTTCATATCAGAAAAGGCCTCTCCTGA